AGCTAGGCTGATGCCACAGCACTCTAGCTCGAGCAACAGTGGGACTGTCTCAAAAAAAAAAAGAGTAAAGTCTTTAACTTTGTATTTTTATATGTACCCAGAATTGATCAAGTTTGTCAGGACTATATCATAGTTATCAGATTCACAAAAAAATCTTGATATTAAGAAGACACAAGGCTATAAATTTTTCTAATGTCTCAAGTCGTTGTGGCTATCAGGAGTACCTGATAAGCAGAATCCATAAATAAAAGTTTGCTTGTGATAATGGAATCAGCAACAGAGGAGGCTAGTTTGAACATTATCTCAACCAAATTACCTTAAGGCCTGGTAACTGGTTTCTGCCTCACAACAGAGTATCCTTTGTTCATGTTTCCAAAATTTCCTCCTTTGACAATGTATGATAAATATCAACAAATTATTTTTTAAGGCTTAATTCACTTTATCTTTCTTGTATAAAACCCTACCTAACAAATTCTTACTCTTTGTACTCCCGTTTTCCAAACTCCAAGATGACTACTCCCCATTTGTTAACACAAACTTTTTTCAAACATTTTACTATATAAACTGATAGGATTTCTAATCTTTTCAAGAGAGGCGAGTTCAATTCTAAAGGAGTTGGTCAAATGGATTGCTAAAAAAATATAAAGCATTTCCTAGCAGTGAAGGTTGACCTGTCAGATTGAGGTTATTTTTATTAACTTTGTTTAAATATGTGGTCCACCAGATATGTATTGCTGTCATGGGTGTTGGAAGATACCCAATACTATCCCTATTTTCATTTAAAAAACTAAAACTAAAGCCAGTAAAGTCAAATGATTTCAAATCACTTGACTAGGCTGAGAAAGGATTAGATCTCTAGTTTTTAACTCTGATTCATTCCGTTCATTAACTTCGCAACACAATTGGACACATGTGATCACAATTAAAGTAAAGTCATAGGGAACAGGCAGAAATAATCTGGCGACCCACTTTTTGAAAAAAAAATTTTTTTAGACTAGTCAAATGGCAGTAGCGAGAAAGGGGAAAGTAGAACAAGGAGTTCAATCTGTAACTGTGTTATAATCAAGTGAGGATAATATCTTCAGAAAGCCGGCGACCCACTTTTAACAAGCACATACAAATCACTCAATTCTTAAATCTTCCGACCAAACAGATGTTGCAGCTTTCCACGCTAACAAGAAAGAAGAGCCATTAGAAAAGATAGTCCCGATATGTAATATTTTATTTCTGGAGATCAGTGAGTACCTAATGAACTGACCTCCACCAGTCCCGCCTCCAGGTTGTTAAGGGTAACAATTCAGTGTGTCAGCCGGTTTTGAGGCCCAAGTGCCCACGATTCACACTAGTCGGTGTCGCAGGGATTTCCAGTGTACCGTGCCTTTCAGATGGGCGCCAGTCAGGACACCGTCCCTGGCATTGGAACGAAGACTATCCTGACTCATACGGTGCGGCGGGTGCCGCGATCTCCTCGGATGAGGGAAGACCCTAGAGGGCTTTCCCTTGCTTAGAGGACTTAGAAATCCTTACATGCAGAGCAGCTGAGCGGGACAGTGTGGTTTTATTTTTGAAAGGAAAACACCCAAGGGAGACTGGAGAATGGGTGTCCAGTTAACCATGGAGACCTTGAGGCTGGCGTGGCGGTAGGGAGGTATGCACTAGTCTAGCAGGCCTTATCCCTGTGCCATGCCGAAAAAGCAAACAGTCAGCAGAGAGAAGCCTAGCTCACAGCAACCTCACACTCCTGGGCTCAAGCGATCCTCCTGCCTCAGCCTCCCAAGTAGCTGGGACTACAGGCATGCGCCACCATGCTTGGCTAATTTTTTCTATATAATTTTAGTTGGCCAATTAATTTCTTTCTATTTTTTCAGTAGCGACGGGGTCTTGCTCTTGCTCAGAGCTGGTTTCAAACTCCTGACCTTGAGTGATCCGCCTGGTCGGCCTCCCAAAGAGCTAGGATTACAGGTGTGAGCCACTGTGCCCAGCCAAGACTTTGAGGGGAGGAAGACTTTAGAAAAATGGTATTCACACAAAGGTACTGTATGAAACCTTGCAAGTGTGATGAAGAATGATCACCTGGCTTCACTTTGGAGCATGTTTGTCTAGGTGTTTTCTAAACAAGTTATTATAATCCATAACTTTTGGCCTTATTCTTTCTTCTTTGAATTATATTAAATTTTTATGTTAATTTGAGAAATAGCATCGGATGGGATACTAAGTCCTTCCTTCAGGCACATGATACATCGGTCCCTTCATTCAAATCTTTTTGTCTTTCAATAAAATGTGGATTCCTCCCTTTGGATTGATCCAGATTTGTTGTTCTTACCGACTATATGTGGTTTTTAGACGTGAGTTATTTTTTATGCTTTTGTCTAAGTTTACCCTCCAGCTCTGTGGCCTTATGGTACCTCATACTATTAATAACATCCCCACTCCAGTCCTTGACCTTGTAGGACATAGACTTGAGCATGGGCTGCTATCTACACTTGTATCCCTGACTGTCTTTTTGAAACAAGAGGAGTATATATGGGGGGTGGGGAGGAGAGAAAGGGGGTAGGGGGATGGGTGACAGACAGACTTTATAATCTATATCAGGCTCAACTTCTTTCATGTCATAACATACAGAAAATAATAATTTTTGTGCATCCCACTAGGGTAAACTAGAAGAGATTTGGAGGCATCTAAATGATGGTTAAAAAATTCGTAACATTTTCTAAAGTACATAATTTTGATAAAAATAAAACTACAAAGTATTAGGGAAGATGTTAAACATTAAATTTGCATAAAACTTTAAAAATGTTCCATGTTTTTTAATGATCGACTTGAACTTATTCCTGTGAATATATTTTGATATTAGGTTTTATGGTTGAAATGGCTTTATGCAGTTTCTGATCTAGACTTTTTAATGGTGAACTCCTCATGTTCTGAATAGTCATTATCACTGAGGGACTCTGATTCACATAAGTGGGTGATAAAATATTTAAAACCATTTTATACAACCATTCAAAATTTACATTGTAATTATGTTTAAAGAATCTAACAACTCTTCTTTTTCTTTTATTGACAAATGTAATGTTGTAATTTCATGTGATAATGCAAATAGATTTCAAACCCAATAATACATTTTTATATCAAGATTTCCACATTGAAACTCTAGCTTTTGGAACATGTACTGTCAACAGCTAGCCTGGATGCCATTAAAGGGCACTGGCTGCAAAGGAATGGTAACAATGGCTGTATGTTAAGACAGATATTAAGGGTACTGCATGGAGCTGAGCTCACCAGAAACCCCATTCTGCCCAGTTTCCTCTGTCACTCCTTAACAGACTACCCCAGAGGTCGTGTGCTGTATGCCTTGGGCACCTGGATCACAAACTCATGCTTTGGCTCCAGGGTCTCTGGTTCTTTATAGGCAGTGGGGTACTTTGCATGTAATTGCCCACATGGCAGGCTTGTATTTGGCTTTGCACAGACGGCACAACTGTTATGTGCTTGCTGCTTGTTTGGCATACACTTCAGACCACTCTGCATAGGCTGCCTGAGGAACCCTAATAGGCTGCTCATGACAATATTTACTGGCCCAGGCCAGGCAAGGTGGCTCACGCCTGTAATCCTAGCACTCTGGGAGGTTGAGGCAGGAGGATCGCTCAAGGTCAGGAGTTCGAAACCAGCCTGAGCAAGAGCGAGACTCCGTCTCTACTAAAAATAGAAAGAAATTAATTGGCCAACTAAAAATACATAGAAAAAATTAGCCGGGCCTGGTGGCACATGTCTGTAGTCCTAGCTATTCGGGAGGCTGAGGCAGGAGGATCGCTTGCGCCCAAGAGTTTGAGGTTGCTGTGAGCTAGGCTGATGCCAAGGCACTCGCTCTAGCCTGGGCAACAAAGTGAAACTCTGTTGCAAAAAAAAAAAAAAAAAGATTTACTGGCCCAAAGGGCTCTGGCTGCCCTACCTCCTCTTAACTGTCCCAATACAGAAAAGGTCAATTTCTCACTGCTATTCAGGATACCAGCATTCCTAGGTTGGCCATTGGGAAGCACTGTCTGGATTGTGTGCTTCATTATATCAATAAGAAAGCTGTTTTGCAGAGTTAGGAATTGACTTTTCCAAGATTAAGCAAATTATGGCAGAGTTAGAACTGAAAGAAAGAGAATGGAAATTGAATGAAAATATTTTGGACTGGAAGAAGGTAATCCTTAGGAGTGAGGAATTATAATAAATTATAAGCTTTGTTATCTGCTACTTTATTCAGAATATGCCAATAGCTTTATTTTCTAAAATCTTAAGTTTTTAAATAAGTATGTAAAGGAAAACACAAGACAAAATAAAAATCCGCCCCCCCAATCCTGTTATACAGATTTGACCAAAGTCAACAACTTAGTATTTATCCTTTTACATTTTCTTCTTGGCCTAATCAATTCTTTAATTATATATGAAACAAGCATAGTTATTTAACTTTTGCGAGTGTATTTCTTTTTTTTTTTGAGACAGAGTCTCGCTTTGTTGCCCAGGCTAGAGTGAGTGCCATGGCATCAGCCTAGCTCACAGCAACCTCAAACTCCTGGGCTCAAACAATCCTTCTGCCTCAGCCTCCTGAGTAGCTGGGACTACAGGCATGCGCCACCATGCCTGGCTAATTTTTTCTATATATATTAGTTGGTCAATTAATTTCTTTCTATTTATAGTAGAGACGGGTCTCGCTCTTGCTTAGGCTGGTTTCGAA